TATAATGCTACCGTCGAACTAAGCAAAATAAGATGCATAAAGGATAAACATCACATGCAATCAATATAAGTGATATGATATGGCCATCATCATCTTGTGCCTTTGATCTCCATCTCCAAAGCACTGTCATGATCACCATTGTCACCGGCTTGACACCTTGATCTCCATCGAAGCATCATTCTTGTCTCACCAACTATTGCTTCTACGACTATAGCTACTGCTTAATGATAAAGTAAAGCAATTACATGGCGATTGCATTTCATACAATAAAGCGACAACCATATGGCTCCTGCCAGTTGCCGATAACTCTGTTACAAAACATGATCATCTCATACAATAAAATTTAGCATCATGTCTTGACCATATCACATCACAACATGCCCTGCAAAAACATGTTAGACGTCCTCTACTTTGTTGTTGCATTTTTTACGTGGCTACTACGGGCTGAGCAAGAACCGTTCTTACCTACGCATCAAAAACCACAACGCGGTATAGTGATTGCTTTTTGATCTTCAGAAAGAACCCTGTTCATTGAATCTGATTCAACTAAAGTTGGAGAAACTGACACCCACCGGCCACGTGTGTGCGCAGCACGTCGGTAGAACCAGTCTCGCGTAAGCGTACGCGTAATGTCAGTCTGAGCCGCTTCATCCAACAATACCTCTGAATCAAGAATCAACTAGTGATGGCAAGCAATATGTATATACCCACGCCCACAAGTCCTTTCTGTTCTACTCGTGCATATAACATCTACGCATAGACCTGGCTCGGATGCCACTGTTGGGGAATGCAGTAATTTCAAAAAAATCCTACGCACACGCAAGATCCATCTAGGTGATGCATAGCAACGAGAGGGGAGAGTGTTGTCTACGTACCCTCGTAGACCGTAAGCGGAAGCGTTATGACAACGCGGTTGATGTAGTCATACGTCTTCACGATCCGACCGATCCTAGCACCGAAGGTACAACACCTCTGCGATCTGCACACGTTCAGCTCGGTGACATCCCACGAACTCTAGATCCAGCTGAGTGTCGAGGGAGAGCTTCGTCAACACGATGGCGTGATGACGGTGATGATGAAGTTACCGACGCAGGGCTTCGCCTAAGCACTACAACGATATGACCGAGGTGGAAATCTGTGGAGGGGGGCACCGCACACGGCTAAGAGATCAACTTGTGTGTCTATCGGGTGCCCCCTTCCCCCGTATATAAAGGAGTGGAGGATGGGAGGGCCGGCCCTCTCTATGGTGCGCCCTAGGGGGAGTCCTACTCCCACCGGGAGTAGGATTCCCCCTTTCCCTAGTAGGAGTAGGAGAGAAGGAAGGGGGAGAGAGAAGGAAGGAAGGGGGCCGGCCCCCCACCCAATTCGGATTGGGCTAGGGGGCACGCCCTCCTCCTTGGCCTTCCTCTCCTCTATTCCACTAAGGCCCATATACTCCCCAGGGGGTTCCGGTAACCCCCCGGTACGTCGGTAAATGCCCGAACTGACCCGGAACCATTCCGATGTCCAAACATAGGCTTCCAATATATCGATCTTTATGTCTCGACCATTCCGAGACTCCTCGTCATGTCCGTGATCATATCCAGGACTCCGAACAACCTTCGGTACATCAAAACACATAAACTCATAATACCGATCGTCACCGAACGTTAAGCGTGCGGACCCTACGGGTTTGAGAACTATGTAGACATGACCGAGACTCATCTCTGGTCAATAACCAATAGCGGAACCTGGATGCTCATATTGGTCCCTACATATTTTACGAAGATCTTTAGCGGTCAAACCGCATAACAACATACGTTGTTCCCTTTGTCATCGGTATGTTACTTGCCCGAGATTCGATCGTCGGTATCTCAATACCTAGTTCAATCTCGTTACCGGCAAGTCTCTTTACTTGTTCCGTAATGCTACATCACGTAACTAACTCATTAGTTACATTCCTTACAAGGCTTATAGTGATGTGCATTAGCGAGAGGGCCTAGAGATACCTCTCCGATACACGGAGTGACAAATCCTAATCTCGATCTATGCCAACTTAACAAACACCATCTGAGACACCTGTAGAGCATCTTTATAGTCACCCAGTTACGTTGTGACATTTGATAGCACACTAAATGTTCATCCGGTATTCGGGAGTTGTATAATCTCATACTCATAGGAACATGTATAAGTTATGGAGAAAGCAATAGCAGTAAACTAAACGATCATCGTGCTAAGCTAACGAATGGGTCAAGTCAATCATATCATTCTCTAATGATGTGATCCCGTTAATCAAATGACAACTCATGTCTATGGTTAGGAAACATAACCATCTTTGATTAACGAGCTAGTCAAGTAGAGGCATACTAGTGACACTTTGTTTGTCTATGTATTCACACATGTACTAAGTTTCCGGTTAATACAATTCTAGCATGAATAATAAACATTTATCATGATATAAGGAAATATAAATAACAACTTTATTATTGCCTCTAGGGCATATTTCCTTCACATATGCTCAACCAAATCATCTTGCAGCTGAATGTGAGTTTCCCAGTCACGCATTTGATGATGAAATTGGGTGAACTGTGCAAATTTTGCCGCTCCTCCATGCTCAGGCACAACATTGTCACCCTAAAACTGAATCCCTTGATCATAGATACGTTCTGGGCGTTCATCCTCTACGATCATATTGTGCATGATCACACAAGCAGTCATCGCCTCCCACAACCTCTTGGTGCTCCAAGGTCTAGCAGGATACCAAACGCTCCAAGGTCTAGCAGGATACCAAACGATGCCCCATCGAGATTGCAGAACACCAAAGGCACACTCGACATCCTTCCTAGCACTCTCTTGCTCTTGAGCAAATATTTTCCTCTTCTCTCCGACAGGATTGGAGATTGTTTTCACAATAGTGGTCCACTGAGGATAGATACCATCAGCTAGGTAGTATCCTTTGTTGTAGTTGTGGTCGTTGATGTCAACATTGATCGGCGGGTTGTTGCCTTCGGCAAGCCTTGCAAACGCCGGCGAGCGTTGATATCATTGTGTGATCCGTCCATGCCAAAGAAAGAGTGCCAGATCTAGAGATCTTGTGGGGCCACAGCCTCAAGTATGATAGTGCAAGCCCTGACATGGCCCCTATACTACCCTTGCCAAGTAGAAGGGCAGTCCTTCCACTCCCAGTGCATGCAGTCTATGTTGCCAAGCATCCCTGGGAAGCCCCTGCTGGCATTGATCGCCAACAAGCGGGCTATATCTTCAGCAGTCGGCTCTCACAAGTATTCGGGGTCAAACGCTGCTATCACAGCCTTTGCAGAACCTGTACATGGACTCTAGGCACGTAGACTTGCTCATACGGATGTACTCATCAATGAGATCACCGGGCACTCTGTATGCAAGCATCCGGATAGCTGTAGTGCATTTCTGATAAGATGAGAAGCCAATCTTTCCAAGGGCATCCTGTTGCACTTGAAATACTTATTGTATCCGACCACCCCCTCTCGAATACGGTTGAAACATGCCTAGCCATACGGAAACGCCGCCTTAATTGGTGATGTTTGAAGAGCGGGCTGGTTGTGTCAAAGTAGTCCTTCCAAAGAAGGAAATGGTTGCTCTCTCGATTGCGATGCAACGTCGTAGTGTGCCCCGGGATCGAGCCCCGGAACAACGGCCGTTGCCTATTAAGGTGTTCATGGACCAACACAACCGCCACCATCTCCTCATCATCGGATGAGGAATTGTCGGAGTCGTGGAGAAAATTGTGGAAAAAGAACACGTCGGCGGAGTCCATTTGTACCTTGGGGGCAAACTGTTGAACAACTTGCGGGCATCATCAAAGATGCTGGCCAGCTAAGAGACGTGCACCTCCCCTAGACCAGGTAGCTGGCCTGCGGCGTTCGACGAGCGTGGCAGCGTCGGACGAAGGAGCTGGCCGGGGCCGCGCAGGGGGGGGGGATTCTTGGTCGCGGCGACGTTGGGATGGGGGTGAGGGGAGCTGCGGTGGCCCGATGGCGAGGCGGTGGTGGCGGCGTGGGTGTAGGCACGGACTGCTGGCAGGGACACAGAAACTGGGTGGCGGCGGTGACGGGGTGGGGCGGGCGAGGGCTTGCTGTTGATAGGGGTGGAAGAGAATGGCCAATGTGGCATCGACGGGTGGGTCAGGTGGAGGAGTAGGCGCACGTCCGTTGCGTGTCCGTGTCGACGCAAATCAGACTCAAAATTGAGTCGGAAATGGGTTGGCGGGTGGACGAAAAACGAACACGTATTCGTTTGAGTCGATGCGTTGGACCGATTTTTCTATTCCGACGACCTAAATAGATACGTGCGGACGAAATGAATCAGGGCGAATATAAACGGAACAAAATGCTAACGAAGCTGTTGCTAGCTAGTTAAGCTGCGTGAGGCTGAGGTGCACCGGCATGGGTGGTGCAGCCTGTGGGGTGTGGGCACGTGTGGCCGGCACGGGTAATGAGGCCCAAGGCAGTCAGCAGGCGCAGGATCCGAACGCTCGCGCACGACTCTCCACGCAATCTCACTGGCCACACCTGTCCATCTCACTGGTCCATGATGCTACGATGCTTCCTTCTTCTCCCCTTGTACTCGTAGCTACAAGTAGCAGTACGTGTACTGTCGGCTACTACATTGCTCGATCGTCCTCCACACGATCCCACCTATATAGCCGCGCCTCCATTCTGCCTGCGCCTTCGCGAAGCCTCGAAGCTTGCACAGTCGTCGAGCCAGCCAGCCAGCTAGCTAGCAGCTAGCCAGTACAGTCAAGTGGCCACCACCCCCTTCTCTCCCTCTCTCCCTCTCTCTCTCTCATTGCCGCCGCTGCTGCGCATAGCTAGGCAGCAGACGCGCTCGTCGTGCTCGCCCTCCCCTCTCGATCGTCGCGCTCGTACGTGCGTGCTCGAAGCTACACCTCGGCGGCAAGAGGCGCACTGCGCCGCCGGACCGATATATCCATCGATATCGGAGAGAAGCAGAGGGAGAGGAGGAGATCGCTCGATATACATCCGATGCAGCCTGCCGGGTCCGCCTCACGCCTCGCCGTGCTGGTGGCCGTGGTGGTGCTGGCGTCGTCGGCGGCGTGCTGCCGCGCGCAGCTGGCGAGCAACTACTACGCCGGCAAGTGCGGCAACGCGAGCGTGGAGGCCGTCATCCAGAGCGCCGTCCAGGCCCGCCTCGCGTGGGACAAGCGCATGGTCGCCGGCCTCCTCCACATGCTCTTCCACGACTGCTTCGTCCAAGTAAGCAAAGCATACATACATGTTGCTCCTTCTTCCATTGTTTGGAGTGATTTCTACTAGCTAGTTTGCTCACCTCGTCGGCGGCACAATGCATGGATGGGTGGTCAGGGGTGTGATGCGTCGCTGCTGCTGGACGGCCCCAACACGGAGAAGACGGCGCCGCAGAACAGCGGCATCTTCGGCTACGACTTCATCGACGACATCAAGTCCGACCTGGAGGCCGCCTGCCCCGGCGTCGTCTCCTGCGCCGACATCATCATAGCCGCGACCAGGGACGCCATCGCCCTGGTACGTTCGCTCGCTACCACGTTGCTGGTTGCGCAATGCAGATGCAAACCAAAAGAAAAAAGAAAATGAGAAAAGACCGAGTGTTCTTAACCGTTGGCTTGGCTACCATGTTACTGTTCGCTAGTTATTTCGTTATCAATATTTGACTATTGGCACATCGATCGACCTTACAGTGCGGAGGGCCGAGCTATGCGGTGACCCTGGGCAGGAGGGACGGCATGGTGTCGGTGTCATGGATGGCCGGCGACCTGCCGTCGCCCCACGTCGACATCCCCACGGCGATTGCCATGTTCGCCAAGAAGGGCTTCAACAGCTTCGAGATGGCCACCCTCATGGGTACATTTCGACCTCCCTCTCTCTCTTCATCGGCTATCTTGGGTTTTTTACCCCAAAAATAAAAACTATCTTGGGTTTACCCTTCACCACTAGCAGTCCTTTGACCTAGGTAGAACGGCGTATTCCATGTGCATTAACACATGGAATGTCACGTATACCACTGCTGATACATAAAAAAAAGTTTATGTAGGGAAATGCATATGCATAGGGCTAGTTAACCTTTGTACTCGCCGTGTATCTAACGTCTTAATTTGCTTAACCTAATTAGATTAGATCAGTATTCAACCAAGTACCTAGTGTATGTATAATATTCTGCTGTTGATCGAGATCTGAGGCACATTGGTAAGTGGGTAGAGTAACAATCGCACACACAAATTCCCACGTCAAAATTTCAACTGCTGTAAGAAAGAAACCTTAAATTAATCTAAGCACTTCCGTTGCAAGATATACTTACGTGCATGCATGTGCAGGCGCGCACACGGTGGGGGTGACGCACTGCTCGGTGATCGAGGACCGCATGTACAACTTCAACGGCACCGGCAAGGCGGACCCGTCCATGGACCCGACGTACGCGTGGGTCCTGACAACGTACGCGTGCCAAAAGGGCCAGCCCTTCGACAACATCGTCTACCTCGACGACCCCTCCAGCATCCTCATCTTCGACAGGAGCTACTTCAACCAGATCAAGAACCGCCGCGGCGTCCTCCCCGTCGACCAGGCGCTGGGCATCGACCCCGCCACCTCGTGGATGGTCGAGTTCTTCGCCACCACCGACTTCTTCCCCGCCATGTTCGCCCACTCGATCACCAAGATGGCCGCCCTCGAAGTCAAGACCGGCACCGCCGGCGAGATCAGGAGAAACTGCCGGGTTACAAACTAAACTAGATGGTATACGACAAGTTTGTTGCTAGACACCACAGGACCAGAGATCCAAGAGATGGAGAGTATACATGGCCATTTGAGGCGCCCAATTGAGATCCATGCACATTCATATTTTTCCCCTTTTTGTCAAGGATCGCATGATTCTACTATAGTAGTCGGTCCACATGAGTAGCATGCAGTACGTAATTTTGTTGTGATTCTTTTGTACGTGGCTGGTATAAAAATAAGCATTCCATGATGTGTCGATGCCGTTGTTTGCTCAGAAGAAATCATCATACAATACAAGTGTAGGATTATATATATTTTTTACCAGAGAAAAATGAAATGACTTTCCTCTCAAGAGCCAATTAACAGGGACTTTGCTTGGCATGACCGCATGAGCTAGCCAGCAATTACTAAGGCTGGTCGTAATGGCGAGTATCATGTACTAGTATCATACATATGATACTAGTGTATGATACTACATCTGTAGTGCATAGTATCATAAGTTAGTATCATAGCTAACTTTATTTATTAGCATGCATGATACATAGTAGCACATCATTTAATATTATACGGTATCATATGATATGATACTCAACTCTCTCTTCATTTAATTCTATGCCACCTCATCAAATTTGCCTAGTTGGCATGCATGATACTACCTATGATACTACCATTACGACCAGCCTAAAGAATCAACACCCAGGGATAGTGTTTACATCTACTGTCATGAAAAAACTTAATTAAATTTGATTAATTAGGATTAATGTAGCCACATTAGTCAACTAGCATATTGAAGAGTCTGAAACTAGGAAGCACATAGAATATGAGCAGAGTGCATCCCCAGAGGCCTTATTTTTGTTTTCCCAGATGCTATCACTCGTCAAGGGGATGCAAGAGGAATCTTCACGCCGACGCAAGCCATTTTCTTATTACGCGCGCGTCTGGTCCAGGCAAATTAAGCCAACTGGACTGAAACCCTAAAAAAAGGGCAATTGAAGCCATCACGCCGCCGTCCAGCTTGAGCTACCCCAGTAGATCGATACGCTGTTTGAATTTATATATACGCTCTTCGTAAATAATTCTATCTGTATAATGCAATGTAATGTAGCCATGGTAGGTGTAAGAAAATTCGGAAGGTGACATTCCCTGGCATAGATACGTGCATACAAGCACAAGATCGACATTGCTTCGAGAATGGTCAACACAGCTTGCTAGGTAGCTCAAGCTCCAGCTGACCGACAAGGCAAACAAGTTGATATCGGAGCTACTATAGTACAGTATTTGTTTCTCACAAAACTACGTACTATGCATTCATATTAGTATTTGTTTCCAACTTGTGAATGGTAGCTACTGTGGTTGGCATGATTAATTCATGGGTTCATGAGTTCATCCCATGAATGCATGTTCAAGTAGCGTGATTTGACTTGCATGCAGTTAGCCTTCGGTCTTGGGGCCGGGATGCATGATGCATGATGCCTCAAAGGCTCAAACTGACAGAAAAGGCAACCGTACAAGCATTCAGTCTCGCACGGCCTGGCTACACGATGCACACAAGCATGCATGCATGCGGACCAGATCATCGAGGAGCCACTAAGCAGAAGCTAGCACATGTACTATTGTATGCACTCGATTGATCATGTGCACATCATGCATCTGGACTTTCTGATCCAGCATGATTAGGTCGAGTTATACAAGTGATCGCATGTTCAGCTACATATAGAAAAGGCTTCGTGTGCTCTCCCCAACGACTTGACTTTCGTCATGCAACGCCGTGCCCATGTCCACTCATGGAAAGCTAAGTAAGCTTCACCCATCGATGTAATTTTCGCTGCGCAAGAAAAGAACTTTAAAACACAAGGAATCAGGATGCCAGGCTGAGCCGGCGGGAGTCGATGAAAGTACCATCTGCACCATGATGTCGATAGCTCCATGGTGAGCGCGTGTTCTGGATATAAACCTGAAAATACTACGGGATTGTGTATGTAGAGGCAATCGTATCTATCGAACAATATAGATGCATGGGAGTATGTTGAAAGATTTATACAAGTTTAGGCTCTTTCGGTGGAGGTAATACCCTACTCTTGTGGTGCTCTTTTTCTTGGCGTAGATTACAACATCGTTGAGTAACGGCGGTATTGAATGCATTGTGGGGGGTTACGGTACGTATCCTAGGGCACAGCCAAATGTAGGCCATCCGACTATGTTTCTTGGTGACCGACTGTTGGGTCTCATCTGTTAGGGGTTCGTAAACCGACTGTAGACACTTGGTTCCTTAGAGAATATCTCCCTGGTATCTGACGCCATGAGCTGGTGTCGCAATGGGACTTGTGTATAGCCCTTGGCTCATTGTCTTCAGCACTGTATTTCTTGGTTGGCTTAGGCCTTAGGCTAAGCCATGCGTATAACCTGACCCATTTTGCCCTTCAGGTGTACCTCCTGTATAGTTGACGGTCAAATCTAGTTGACGCCCGCATGTGTCAACTAGGGAAGCCAACACCCGCTGGCGAGCGAGGCGGGTCATCCTAGTTCCTTGCGCGCTGATGCGTTCGTTGTCCGCTGGTTGCCGTTCTTTTCATTGTGGTTTTTGTTTGTGTTTTCTATTTCTTTCAAGTTATTTCTGTTTTTTTGTTTGTTTATTTTTTGTTCTGGTATTTTTCCCTTTTTATTTTCTAATACACCGTGAACACATTTTTAATGCACAGTGAATACTTCTTTAATATACCATGAACATTTTTAGTACATCACTAAATATTTTTGTAGTGTACTTATTTTAATACACATCCAACGTGTTTCTAATATATGGTGAACTTTTTTATTATATGGTGAACATATTTTAGTATAGACTGAATTTTTTAAAATTAAACTGGAAAATTTCAAAAATACTATTTTAATTTTTTAACAGGTTTTTAAAATTTAGCCTAAAAATCCCCCCTTTTTTGGAGAAAATCCGACTAAAAACCAAAAAAAAAAAACTCACGCCAGAGTGGGCCGTCCTTCTCCTCTTTGGAGGTCTCTCTCTCATTCCCCGATTTATGTGGCCGAATGTCCGAACTGGACTGGCCCACGACGTACGCGCCTGTTTTTTTCCTTTTCATGCCCAGAGTCCTCCGATACAGCTAGGGCCGTTCCGCCGCCGCCGCCGTCTCCTCCGCTCTTCCCTTCGGCGCTGGCCTCCGCGCCCCACCTCCGCCTTCGAGTTCTCCCGCCTCGCCGCAGTGCCGAGAGTGTCCTTCCTCTGCCGCGCTGCCTCTTTCACCGGCCGCCGACCGACGGCAAGCCACTGCCTCCCGTATCGGCGAACCGCGTCGCGCCGTTGCTGCACGCGGAGGAGGAGGCCCCCATCTTACCGGCCGCACACCTCCCTTCGGAAACCAGCCGCTACACATCTCTCCACTCCAGTGACTGGCGGCGTGCACCTCGGCAACTTGACCGTCTTCTCCACCGTGTCGGACACTCAGCAAACAGGCAATGTAAGTCCCCAGCTCGTCTCATCCTCTGCCTCAAATCTTTGTTCAATTTGCACTAGTTCTATATGTAGATCAAAGATCATACATGGATGCTTTTCTTGGAGATTCTACCACTTGTACTGGTCCTGTATGTAGAATTGTAGATGATACATGGACTGAATTTCAAAATAAACCGAATTGTACTAACCGAAATTTTGGTTTCTTCCCAGGCCTGGCCGATACATAGCCTTTCGGTTCTCAGCGGCCACCGCCGTTTCCTAAAGAAAAGCAAGCGCCGCCGAAAAGTTGGTCCTAGCTGTGGGTTCGAGCACCGGGGTTGGGAAGGGAAACAAGGCGAGCTGTTAATCGGGATGGAGGCGATGGTGCGGAAGGTGCAGCAGAGGGTGAGGAAGGCACGGGAGGAGACGGATCGGTGGGACAACCTCAACTCCCGCCTCCTCTCCCAGTTCTCCAACGCCACGACCATCATCACCCGCCTTCCGGTACATTTCATTCTCCTTGGATCCTCTTTGTGCTTATTTGCATTCTACTTTTATGCAGCGTCTTCAGTGATGCACTGCGCGTGATCAATTCACAGCTGTAATGGGGTTTTAGAAATCTAGTAATAGGTGGTTACAGTAGCTTTAGTTAATGAGCAGTACCAAATTTTAGGAATAGTGATCCTGATATTGCTGCATTGTGATTTTGTGATTCTTTACTCCCCGGAGGAATTTTGAATTCTTACTCATCTCGTGTTAGGTACTTGGAGATGCTAAAAACTATGGTGTCCTGCGGTGTGTACCCAGCATCAGGGAGGATCTCTTGGGGAAGCAGATGGAGAGCCTGGAGCTCATCTTTGTTTTGATGAGGGAAACTTTGTAAGATGCTGTCACTTTTGTTTTAACCGCTTGTGCGATGGAATTGTTTTGGGTTGGCGTTACAATGCTGCTGCATTTTTTCAGGGAGGAGTTCAGTGGCATTGCCAAAGGTTTGAGCAAAGTGTTGCGTGATACTAATCAGATGGTGAGGGGTGGATCCACACTCAGTGCAAAACAGTTGCAGTTACAAGTGGGAGTTTTGCCAACTATCGCAGACTGCTTGGATGGGCTACGAACGCTGTCAGATATGCACCAGGCTGAGTAAGAACCAAGTGAAATTCCTTTACCAAACCTGCTGAAGCTTGACCACATTCTCAATTTTTGTTGTTGTTGCCAAATAACATGAATCTGGCTCACTTGACCACATTCCTTCTGGTTGAATAGAAGATTGTTGCACTATTGCTGATATGTACATTTGCCATCTCGTATATGGCCAGTTCACCAATACCGTCTCTTAGCATTTTGTTTTCGCTGGTGTCACATGTAAAAATGCTATTTTTCTAACAATTCATTGATATACATCTTACTCTTTTTATCATAGCAGAAGCTACTTCTTTACTGACAATGCATTGGTATGCCAGGTATGCGCTAAAATCATCAATCATCTCTTTGTTGACATGGACAAGCAGGCAAGTTGGAGTTTATGGTCACTAAACTATCTTTTCATCTCCTTAGATTTATTCCCTGTATTTCTGTATCTCTGTTAATTTACCCAAGACTGATCTCCTTCCCATCCCTTAAAACTAGCAGTTAGGCACATCTCGGTTCTTATCTTTCGTCATTGACTTTTGGTGCCCTTCCCTTTGCAGTTCAAGTGATATCGCTGCAATGCGCCAACTCTTGGTAGACCAACCGAACATACCAAAAGATGAAGGTAAGAAACGGAACAATAGTACTGAAAATATGGTTTTTACTAATGGTTTGATCTAATGCTTTTCCACTCCATCTTCCTCATTTTGCAGTGCAATCTATTTTCGACATTATATTTGCTGATGAAATTTGTTAAGTTGGGTGTGTGTCCTACTGCCGGGAGCCTATTGCCCAGACATGTCGAAGCCATTGTATTTTGATCTACTTTCTCATCTAGACAAAGCATGAAGGTGGCTGCAGTTTCAGGTTTAATGATCCCAATTGCTGACAAAGCTCAAGCTGGAATTAATTCAGAGAACCGTTAGCTTGTAAACCTGCAAGTGGAGTCGACATATTGGGAAGTAGCAATGTTCCGTCTCGTTGTATGGTCAAAGTCTTTATTTCTGGAATTTGGTATCAAACTATTGATCTGCTGCAACTTAAAGTGGTCTGGTGAAAGTGTCTTGGGGAAATAGTTACTGGAAGTTTCCTAGCTTTGCTTATTTGACCCTTTTGTTATGTTAACTATCAGTCCTGGAGATTGCAAGTTTTCAAACTTTTTCTTGAGAAAAACCCCCTCCATTCACAAATATAAGATTTTTTTGGATATTTCAATATGGACTACATACGGACTGAAATGAGTGAACAAACACAGTAAAATGTGTCTATATACACCGATTCACAAAAAAAAGTTAGAACATCTTATATTTGTGATTTTTTTTTGAACAAGGGGGTGGTGCCACTGGCACCTTTCATTGATCTCAACCGCAAGTTACAACTGAGATTTTACAGTGTTCCAAATCGAGATTTCCTAGCTTATGAAGCATAGGACAGTGATCAGCTGCATGAGATCTGCTATTACAAACTAAAATGGAGTAACCATTGGGAGCTGAAGAGTATGCATTGGCTGCATTGACATGCGCTTTCCTGTTAAGCTCCCTGGGAATGTATCGAACATCAGTTCGAATCTGATTAGTGGCAGCAAAGAAGCTAGCTAAGTAATTCCTGATTTCCCAATGGCCAGGCTTGTTACGAATATCTCTCGATGCTGCGGCATGCGCCAAAGTCTGGTTGTCTGTAAGAAATGTAGCCTCAGTTATAGCCAATTTAGCTACTATCTGATCTGCTACCTGAAGTGCTCTTGCTTCCGCCTGAAGCGGGGAGTCAACCTGATTTTCCAGAGCAAGTGCACACACCTCAATTTGCTGTTGTTCATCTTCGAAGTAGATGAGTATGCCAATTCCCACAATGTTTTGCTTTCCTGCTTTCCATGCGGCATCTGTATATATCTTGCACCTTGAACTCATAATTTGAATTGGACCTGTATTGGCATGCTTCTGAGAATTTAGAGATGCATTTGTTTGCGAATTTTGATCATTGCACTGCTTCGCAGGATCAATCTGAAAAGCTAGCTCCTGATTCTCTAAGATGGCCTGCATTGTTTGGTACACCTGTGTTGGTTTTGTTTCTTTCCTGCCAAAGAGTGCATCATTCCTCACCTTCCATATGCACCAAAGAAAAGTCATTATATTTATAAGAGAGGCCTGGGGGTGCCCTGAGTTAAGAAGAGCATGAATAATTTCTGCAATGCTAGTATAGTTGTTACAGAGGATTTCAGATTTAATAAACCAGGGATGAGCAACCCAGGCTGCTTTTGCAAAGGGACAAGTAAAGAAAAGATGCATGTCATTTTCGTCCTGATCACACCTAATGCAGCCTTTCTTAATATGCTTGGAATATTTCCCTGCTCTCATGCCTGTTGGAAGAGCTTTCCTCAAGAGCCTCCATGCAAAAGTCTGTACTCTTGGAACCATGGTCTTATCTTTCCACACCTGCTTGAGCAACTGCTTGATTTCTTGAGATACCTGTCTAGGTAATGGAGATCCCTGCTGTTGTAAGTCTTGGAGGCATGCTTTGTAAGCAGATTTTGAAGTACATTTTCCTGAAGGATGTAATTTCCAACAGAGGATATCAGCTCCCTGATGTTGAATAATTGGCACCTTCATGATGTTGTTAGCCACTTCATAGTCAAAAAGATTATAAATAAGACTGGCATTCCATGTTTTTTGATTTTGATTCCATAAATCCTTGATTTTGGAAGGATATACATAATGCCCCGGACGAATTTGTAAATGCTCATAAATCGATTGCCAATGAGGAAACCAGGGAGTGCTCCAAACAGAGGAATTACCATCAAGAATTTGATAAATTGAATTTGCACAAAGAATGTGCTTTACCTTGAGAATTGAAGCCCAGAAACCTGATTTTGGAATGTTGTTTTTTGCTCTCCATATAGAAGTATCAGGAAAATATTTAGATTTAAGTACCTGTGACAAAAAACTTTGGGGTTCCTCTGCAATTCTCCAAGCTGCTGATAGGATTAGTCCTCTATTTACTGCTTGGATGTTCTTGATTCCTAGCCCCCCTTCAACTTTTGGGGTGCAAATGTCCTTCCATGCCCTAAGGCAAAGAGCTTTCTTTGATGGGTCTTCTTTTATTCCTGTCCACCAAAAATTCCTAATGATAGAAGTAAGTTTGGCAATAAGTTTCCTAGAGAAAAGGATATTTGACATATAGTAGACAGGGATGGAAGCGAAAACTGAATTGATCAGAGTTAATCTAGCTGCATGTGAAAGTTTGTTGGCCTTATAGCCAGTCAATTTAACTTTAAATTTGTCGGCAACAAAATCATAAGCACTGGATCTATCTTTGTCAGGGAGGATTAAAGGATGTCCTAAATAGATAGAACTATCGCTAATATCCTGCACCGGAAAAATTCTTTTAATACCCTCCTTATTGATGGCATTGACATTCCTGCTGAAAATAATAGTAGACTTGCTCCAGTTTGGCATTTGACCTGAAAGGTTGCAAAATCTTTGAAGAATTTGAAGCATATGAGTAGCTTCTTCAACTGTAGCTTGTCCACAAATCAGTAAATCATCAGCAAACATTAATGAGTGAATAGGAGGACATCCTGGCCCTAAAATAATCCCTGATAAGTGGTCGGCGAGCATGGCTTCCTGTAAAGAGATTGACAACTCATTGATGGCCAGAACGAACAAGTAAGGGGACAGAGGGCAACCCTGCCTAATGCCCCTACTACTTTGAAAGCGGCCATACTGACCATTAATAATAACCGAGAAAGTGGGGATAGCCATGCAAGCATAAATTAAATTTATGAAATGACCATGCAGTCCTTTACGGGTAAGAGCTTTAACAATGAAATCCCATTCAATTCTATCAAAAGCCTTGGCAAGATCTATTTTAACCATAAAGGCAGGACTATTCCAAGATTTAAGGTTAGAGGAATGGGTAATTTCCTGTGCAATGATGATGTTATTGCTAATCCTTCTGCCAGGTATAAAAGCTTGCTGAGAGTGATGAATATAGTTTGGCAGGTGCGGTTTAAGCCTGTTTGCTAAAGTTTTAGCAATAACTTTGTAAATCACATTGCAAAGACTAATGGGCCGAAAATCTTGAGGGACCAGGGGAGCAATTTTCTTAGGAATCAAAACAATATGAGTATCATTCAAATGGTTAGGAACAATACCATGTATGTAGAAGTCTCTGACTACCTTGGTTATATCATCACCTATCCAATCCCATGCAGCCAAATAGAACTCCACATTAAATCCATCCGGTCCCGGTGAAGCATTCCTTTTCATAGCTTTCAAGGTATCCAGGATCTCATTTTTATCTGGGATGCTAAAAGTAAAATCATCTTCTCCTTCCTGGTAGGTTGTGTTCATGTAAGGCCTGCCATGATTCACATTAGAGGAGGAAAAGAGATTTTGAAAATAATTGATGAAAGTCTTGGCAATAGTATGAGGATCAACTTGAAGATTGTTATTCTCATCCTTAATAGAAACAATTCTGTTTTTCCTCCTCCTTTTAAGCACAGCATGATGAAAGTAATTAGTGTTTCTATCACCATTGACAGCCCAATGCTTTTTAGCTCTTTGCCTATAATACTCTGTTAACTTGGTCATGTTTTGCTCATACTTACAAATCAGAGAGGTCTCTAGAGAGTGGTTCTGTACCTGAGGAGGTTCCATTTGGATATTTTTTATTTGCTCACCTAAAGTATCAAGCTCCTGCTGAATTGGCTTCTTCTTTCTACACCACACTCTTAAAGCTCCTGCAAGGTTAGTTGCCCTATTGTGGAAAGCTTTATCACTGGAAGCAATCCAAATATTTTTAGCATATTCATGAAAATCACTTTCCATAAGCCACCAGTTTTCAAATTTAAAGTTCCTTTTAGGCTTGCGCATATGAGCATCAGTAGAAAGAAGAATAGGAGCATGATCACTGAGAATAATAGGAAGATTATAAACATTAGAATTGGGAAAGACCGCACACCATTCAGCATTAACTAGACATCTATCAAGTCTTTCCATGGTTGGGTTGGAAGAATACCTTTTGTTTGTCCAAGTATAAGCAGGGCCACTATATCCCAGATCAATCAGACCACATTGTTTCACAATATAACGAAAAGCATGCAAGCGAGAGTAATTCACAAAGGGAGAACTTTTATCGACATCATAAAGTATATCATTAAGATCTCCCATACACAAAATAGGATTGCCTTGGTTATCATACACAAAAGAGGCAATACGATCCCAGATGTCACTAGAGCGACGATGATACGGGTCTCCATATATATAAATAAGAGCAAAAGAAACGCTAGAAACTGGATTAACTACAGAGGCAAGGATCACATGGAAGTCCGCAAAATGAACCTTAACTTGGACCTCGTCCGTCCACATCAGCCAAAGACCTCCTGACTTGCCTCTTGAAGGGACAACTACGCTATCTACAATGTCAAAACGATTAAGAAGATCAGCTCTATTAGTCTTGGATGATTTAATTTCAGAAACAAAGGTGACCTGAGCACTAGTAGAACGCATGAGGTTGGCAAGGTAGGTCATCTTCTCACTGCCTAGGCCCTTGACTTTGCCCCGGCAGTTCCATGCTATGCATTTCATGGCGCCCGTGGTGCCTTATGGGCTGGCACCAATGCCCGATCTAGTTCCATATCTTCATCACGTATATCCTCTGACAAAGCCAAATTATTGCCATGT